GAGAAGTTGGGGAGGTGGGGAGGGAAGGGATGGTAGGGGCAAAACAAAGAGGAGGTAACCATGCTCAATAGGAAATGGACTCATTACCTTACTCATGTAACAATAAAACACACACATCTATATATAAAGAAATAGATAGAAACCCTAAACACTCCCTCTGATCAGATCACCCCGTCCAAAAGTGAACTAAAAACTTTCCCCATCATCGAGACTCTGCACACGACCCCCATTTAACACCTCTGCCAGGCCTGTCATTTTATGTGTAATATAATACTGCTTAAGGTTATCCATCTTTAAAAGAAGGAAAAGAAGCATACTATCCCAGTGCTTTGTGGCCATTCCCGCATTCCAATACAAATGACATAATTACTGTTGCTCGCTAGAGGGGTTTGGGCTCTCTCTCCTTCATTTTTTAAATGCAAATCTTATTAAGTATTTTATCCTAAAATGGGGAATGCAAAAAGGGCACCCGGAGACCATGATAAATAGCGGGCCTACAAAATAAATACGAGGCGAGTAATGAAACCTGAATTAAATCAGCATCCTGGAAACCAAATCGATTACTTATTGAAATATGTTAACAGGGGGTAATGCCTAACTGCCAAAGTCAGATATAGAAAAATATTACATAGATCACTGTCGGGTGGTGGGAAGGGTTCACAAAACCACGGAGACGTCGGGCCGCCTTTTCCCTCCCCAAATCTTGCAGGTTCGGAGGAGGAAGGAAAAAGAGAAGAAAAAAAAATATCACAGATAGACTGATGATTTGGGGTTTGTTTGTTTGTTTGTTTTACATTATGGAGTCCAATGTAAAAGAGCCTGTGGTGTAGGATGGGGTCTTTTTTTTTAATTCTAATTATTCTTCAAAATTCGTCTATTTCTCCTCACCTAGAGTAACGAGCATTCTTGCTATAAAAGGTTGCCAGAAACTTTTTGGAGGAGGAAAAGGAAAAAAAACGAATGTCAAATGCATCCTCTCGGCTCGATGCACTGTGGGATTGCAACTGTGGAACAAAGTGTTTCTGAACGCTGTGTTTAAATGAGTATATATACATATACATTATATACATTATATATGCATGCATGCTTTGCGTGTTGTGTGTGCATACTTTATTGTATGGATAAAAGTACAGGAAAACAGCCGGATGCTGGTGGCTCCCGCCTGTCATGCTAGCTACTCAGGAGAGGCTTGAGATCTGAGGATCGCGATTCAAAGCCAGCCCAGGGCAGGAAAGTCCGTGAGACTCTGATCTCCAACTGATCAAACCCAAAGAAAAAGAGCTGTGGATTGCTTCAAAAATGTACATTGCCAGAGCGCAGTTGCTACCATTTGCAAGCCGATCGTCAAGGTTCAGATGTAACCACGAAAGGGTCTTGGGCGGCTTGCTTGCTTGTGTCATTTAATTTCATTTTTTTCCCTAATTCTCCAAGTGCCTTTGTCATCCTCAAAGATCCAATTTATCCATCCCAGACATTGAACCGGCGGTGGGAAAGGAGGGTCCGACCTCCCCAGTTCTCCTCCCTGCGCCACCTTTGGCCTTTAAACCCGCACGATACGTGCCTCAGTTTCCCCCCCGTGTGTACCCAAAGGAGATCCTCACCAACTCCCAGATGGACAAGATAACCCTGAATGATCAAAGGGAAGTTCACACTGCGTGTGAGAAGCCCAGGGATGCACACACTCACACACACGCACACACACACACACACGCTGCTGGGAAGAAAGTGACTCCATTAACACCTCCATCCACTTCGAGACTGTGTTACACCGTGTGAGTAAATTTGGTTAAAACTTGTCTCCTCACACAGACGGGGGTGATCCTGGGCGAGGAGTTTCTGGGGTGGCTTTTCTCGGTTTAGTTTTGTGCCCGGTGCAGCGTTTTCTCGCTCCTCCCCAAGCATCTCTTATACTTAAACGCAAAACAACAACGACGACGACACATCAACCCCCTGAGCAGCAGCTGGTTCTTACCGAAGCTCATTTGTCCAAAGCTAGGAACGGTTTCTTTGTATTTTGTCTTCCCGGCGATGCTTGGCTTTTCCCCTTCAAGACCAACGCAAACTCAGGGCTTGGAGAGACACAAGCACCAGGCAAAAGCACTAAGCAAGCACCATGCAAGCACCGTGGAAAGCACTAAGCATGCAAGCACCATGCAAAAGAACCAAGCAATCACCACCATGCAAAAGCACCAAGCAAGCACCATGCAAGCACCGTGGAAAGCACTAAGCATGCAAGCACCATGCAAAAGAACTAAGCAATCACCATGCAAAAGCACCAGCAAACACCATGCAAGCACCATGGAAAGCACTAAGCAAGCACCATGCAAGCACCATGCAAAAGACTAAGCAATCATCATGCAAAAGCACCAAGCAAGCATTGTGCAATCCCAGGCAGGAAGGTCTGTGAGACTCTTCATCTCCATAAACCAGCAAAAAACTGGAAGTTGAGCTGTGGCTCAAGGGGTAGAGCACCAGCCTTGAGCAAAAAAGCAAAGAAAACCCACACAACTCAAGGACAAGCACCCAGGCTATGAGTTCAAGCCCAGAACGGGCACCAAAGGAGACAACAAAGATTTCAGAATGGTATTGGCAAGAGTGGCATGAATCCGATTCTCTTCTTCTTTCCTTATGATTATTATTATTCTTTCACTAATTATTTGTTATTGTTGTTTTAGCTCATGAGCAGGTGAAGCCGGTTGAAGAGCAAAGCCTGAGTTCTGAGTCACACACACACACACACACACACACACACACACACACTCTGAGGTCAGAGGCTTTGACAGCCAGGCTGGGTTTGTTGGTGGAGACAGAATCCTGACCAGCCTCCAGTCAGAATCCTCCCAATGTCAGCCTCCCAAGCGGCCGGGATTACAGGCCATAATTCCATTACACCATAATTCCTCCTCGGAACTCACTCGTCAACGAGTCTCACCGTTTAGATGGATGGAGGAAAACGGGGAAGAAGAGGAGATGAGGGAGACTCCCATGCCCGGCCCCCAAGTCCTCCTTAATTATCCTGAAATCCTTATGCTCTGTGTGTGTGTGTGTGTGTGTGTGTGTGTGTGTGTGTGTGTGTACACGCCCGTCCTGGGATTGAACCCGGGCTCTGTTGAGTCTCCCTTGGCTTTTTCACTCCAGGGTGACTTGAAGACCTCTAACCGTGAGCCTCTGAATCGCAGCCTCCCGAAGAAGAATTACCGGCCTGAGCCGAAAAAAATGTTGTTGTTTTGGGGGAGGATCAAAGGAATTTTGGATGATGTTTGTGTGGTTGGAAGCAAAAGAAGAAAAATCTCAAGTGAACCCTTCCCTCGCCTTTCTTTTTAATTTTTAGGGTATATCTCGATTTTATTTTTTGCCATTTGACAAAGCAATTTATGTGCGCGATGTCTCTCTCTTATTCTGTTAGGCTTGGATTTCATTTTCTAAAGAATTATACTAATTAAGCCGGGCACCTGGGGCTCACGCCTGTCATCCCAGCTGCTCGGGAGGCTGAGATCTGAGGATCGCGGTTCAAGGCCAGCCCAGGCAGGAAAGTCTGTGAGACTCTGACCTCCAATGAACCACCAAAAAGGGGAAAAAAAAAATTAAAAAGTCAGAAGTGGAGCTGTGGCTCAAGCGGTAGAGCACCAGCCTTGAGCACAAAAGATCAAGTACTGAGTTCAAGTCCCAGTCTTACACCTAAAAACAAAGAAAAAAAAAAACAAAGAAAAGATCACGTATTTCCATACTATAATTTATACCGACAACCTGGGGGCCATCTCTGAGTTTTTGTACTCAGAGTGAACGCTCTACCACTTGAACCAGACCTCTACTTTTGGAATATTTTTCGCTGGTTCATTGCAGAGAAGGCTTTGAGCCTCGATCCTCAGGTCTCAGCCTCCTGAGCAGCTGGGATGACAGGCGTGAGCCATTGGTGCCTGGCTCACATTGTGTGTGTGTGTTGTTGTTTAATCTCTGCGTTGTACATAGCGCTGTGGGTTTTCCTAGGGAATAAATCCTTTCGTCTTCTCTGAGATGCTAACCGCCATTGATTAATCCTTGCTAAGATCCATTCCCTCATTAGGTGCTGAAGAGATAAATTATTTATTCAATTATGAGCCCTCTGGTCCGCACTGGCTCCTGCAGAACTAAATGCAGGCAGGTGGGAGGAAGGCAGGGAAGAGCGGTTTGGTTTTAAAGTTTTCAAAAACCAAGAAGATCCCTGAGGCCAGGCCGGTGGCTCACGCCGGTCATCTCAGCTACTGAGGGAGCCCAGATCTGAGGGTTTGGATTCAAAGCCAACCCAGGCAGGAAAAAAAATGTCTGTGGGACTCTGATCTCCAGTGCACCACCAAAAAACAAGAAGGGGGCTGTGTGGTTCAAGCAGCAGAGCGCCAACCTTGAGAGAGAAAAAAACGCAGAGATTGCAGCTTAGGACTGACACCTAGACAGACAGACAGATGGACGGATGGACGGATGCTGGGTGGATGGGTGGGTGGATGGATGGGTGGATGGGTGGATGGATGAATGGGTAGATAGATGGATGGATGGATGGATGGATGGATGAGTGGGTGGATGGGTGGATGACTGGGTGGGTGGGTAGATGAATAGATGGTGGATGGATGAGTGAGTGGATGGGTGGGTAGATGGATGGGTGGATGGATTGATGTGTGGATGGATGGATGGATGGATGGATGGGTGGATGGACGGATGGATGGGTGGGTGGGTAGGTTGTGGATGGAAGGATGGATGGATAGGCAGGTGGGTAGGTCATGGATGGATGGATGGATGGGTGGATGGATGGATAGGTGGATGGATGGATGGGTGGGTGGATGGATGGATGGATGGATGGATGGATGGATGGATGGGTGGATGGATGGATGGATGGGTGGATGGATGGATGGATGGATGGATGGATGGATGGATGGGTGGGTGGGTGGGTAGGTCGTGGGTGGATGGATGGACTGAGGAATGGATGGGTGGTATAGACAGATAATAGGGAAAATAAAAAGGGAACGAAATTCCGCCTTTCTCTTCTTTATTCTGCGCATCCTGCTTGGGCCGAATTCACACCCGGGGATGTGGCGGGCGCGAGTCCCGCTTCCTTTTCCTTCTTTACTCCATGCACAGTGCACAGGGGCTGGGGACCCCACGACCGCGCGCCCCGGGGCCCCGCCTGGAGAGCGGGCGACCCTCGAAGGGGTTGCTGTTCTTGCTGCTGAGGTTGGCGCAGGCCCGGGCCCCGCGCGCCCCGCTCAGAGGCGCAGCGCCGCCTGCAGCACGCGGCCGGCCATGGACAGCGTCACCCCGTAGCCCACGAAGAAGCCGAGCGCGCGGCTGGGCTGCGGCAGCGGCAGCAGGTAGGCCACGGTGTGGAAGAGCCGCGCGCCCGCGAACACGCGGAAGTGCAGCAGCGCCGTGGCCGGCGCGGGCCGGCTCAGCGCGTACAGCAGCCCGACGCCCACGAAGGGAACCACGTTCTCCAGGTCGTTCAGGTGCGCCCTGCGGGAGAGGGGCGGGTCTGCGCGGGCCGGCTGTGCGCACGCGTGCACACCTGCGCGCAAGCAAACACACCTGTACGCATGCACACCGGCGCGCAAGCACAACTGCACAGCTGCGCGCATGCACACACACCTGCACGCATGCACACCTGCGCGCGCGCACGCACACCTGCGTGCATGCACACCTACACACCTGCGTGCATGCACACCTGCGCACATACAAACACACACCTGCACGCAAGCAAGCACACCTGCACGCATGTAAACCTGCACACCTGCACACATGCAAACACACCTGCACGCATGCCAACACACACCTGTGCACATGTACACACCTGTGCACATGCACACACCACACATGCACACCTGTGCGCATGCAAACACACACCTGCACGCATGCACGCCTGCACACCTGTGCGCATGCACACCTGCGTGCATGCACACCTGCGTGCATGCACACCTGCACGCATGCAAACACACCTGCATGCAAACACACCTGTGCGCATGTACATCTGCACACCTGCACACATGCAAACACACCTGCGCTCATGCACACATGCACACCTGCGCACATGCAAACACACACATTACACACATGCATGCATGCAAACACACATGCACACCTGCACACATGCACACCTGTGCGCATGCAAACACATCTGCATGAGTGCACACCTGCGTGCATGCACGCCTGCACATCTGCATGCACACATGCATACGCACCTGCATGCGTGCACACATGCACACCTGTACGCATGAACACATGCATACCTGCACGTGTGTAAACATACCTACATGCACAGATGCACACTTGCATGCATACATACACATATGTACATCTGCACACATGTGCACCTACATGTGTGCATACATATCTGCACACATGTGCAGCTACGTGTGCATACACACATGCACACCTGTTTGTGCACGCACTTGTACATGTGCACGCCTGCATGTGGGCACATTTGCATGCACACATACATGTATATGTTCACACCTGCACAGACACTGCAGACATGGACGAATATACCTCTGCATATGCACATGCTATATGCACACCTGCACGTGCACACATACATGCATGCATACATGCATATTGCCCACATGCATGCACATACACACAGGTGAAAAGTGTATATATTTTTTTGTGTGTTCTGGCCTTGAACTCAGGGCCTGGGCATTGTCCCTGAGCTCTTTCACTCAAGGCTGGTGCTCTACCACTTGAGCCACAGCTCCACTTCCTGTTTTCTGAGTGGTTTACTGGAGATCAGAGTCTCACTGACTTTCCTGCCCGGGCTGGCTTTGAACCGCGATCCTCAGATCTCAGCCTCCTGAGTCGCTGGGATGACAGGCGTGAGACTCCAGAGCCCGGCTATATAAATTCTTCCACACGTGTAAATCCCTCTCTGTGGAGGAATTCCTCTCATATACAAAGTCATATAGACACGTACAAATCCTTCTGCATGTGCAAGGCTTGTGTGCGCATGAAGTCCTCTCTCCGTATAGAAATTCTTCCCCAGCAGCTCTGGCCTCACCCCGCGACCCCGCGACCCCGTGACCCCCCTTTTGTCCCCTCAGGTCAGTTCCTTGTTCTGTTCCTCCTCTCCCCACGTCTCAGCCCCAAGTGGCTTTTGGGGGGTGGGGAGGGGTTCCCTTAGCTCCCCCCCCCCCCTGCCCTGTCTTTTCGCTTCCATTATCCTGGTGGGTTAAAGAGAATCAGGATCAAACAGGAGACCCGCGACGTGGCCCTGCCCAGAATCCCCGGGAGGCCCCGGGGCAGCCGCTGCATGGTCACCCTGCCACTTATATCCCCATGACTCTCTTCCTATCATCGATACCTCATCCTCGCACCCGGCTCTGGACTGATCCGTTCTGGGTGCGGCCTCTCCTCTGCACATGTCAGATGAGTTCCAGAACACGTGTCGGGAAAAGAAGGGGGGATTCTAGGGAGAGTCTGCGAAAAGCAGCCCCACGAAGGCGGTGGCTGCGAACTTCCCACCAGGAGGTGCAAAAGGCCAGTGCACAAACGTGCATTCGCCGCGTGGCCGGTGGCCCACGCCTGTCATCCCAGCTACCCAAGAGGGCCGAGCGGTGAGGATCGCGGTTCAAAGCCAGCCCTGGGCAAACATAAAGTCCCTGAGCCTCTGATCTCCCATGAACCACCAGAAAACCAGAAGTGGCGCTGTGGCTCAAGTGGTAGAGCACCAGCCTTGAGCAAAAAAGAGCTCAGAGACAGCGCCTGGGCCCTGAGTTCAAACCCCAGGACCAGCACACACACACACACACACACACACAGGTGTAAATGTAATGTCTATATGTGAATACAACATGTGTGTGAATATAATACATGCACGCGTGAGCACATGCGTGCACACATGTGCACACTCAGCCCATGTGACTATAACTTGTGCATACACGTGTGATAGGCCCGCGTGTAAACACCTGTGTGCATGAAACCTGCACGTAGGCCTGCGTGCACGCACGCACAGGCACACATCTGAAGACAGCGTATCTGTGCGTGTGCATATATGCACCCCGCCCCTGTATTTGCCTTGCACACGTAAGCGTGCATGCAACTATAGCACGCGCGCGCGTGTGCGTGTGTAACATGCCCTGCGCTGGTGGGAAAGCCTCCACGTTGCAGTACCCGCATGTGGGCAGCAGGGGGCGCTGCAAGCACGGCCGCTGCACCCCGGAGTCTAGCAAAATCCCTGCAAACGTTTGCATGCATGCATGCATGCATGCAGATTCCTGCAAAACCGGGGGGCAGGAGAGGAGGGGGACCCTCTCCACATCCAGAGTCCCCAAATTATACCCCTGGTGTCAGGAGACTTGACCCCAGCCCTCCCCCCCCACACCCCCAGCCACCTTGCCAAAGCCCCTGAGCTTCGAACTCTGGTCCTGGGCACCGTGTTGAACATAGGATCCAGCACCGGCTCTGACAAGGAAGCCCAGAAAAGGGGCTTGCCCACGGGGGGGGGAGGGAGGGAGGGGGCTACTGATCCCCCCCACCCCCCCTTCCCCCGCTCGGCTCTATTCTGTCTTTTCATTTGATTATCTTTTCACCCCGGTGAGATTTTTTTAGCTATCTGTCATTTGTGTTCTGTTTTCGTGTGTTCATTCTAACACCTTCGTGTCCAGTCTGCATCTAGCACGCTTTTCTTCTCGGGGGTACCAACGCCCCCAGGTTGATCAGAGCTTGGGAACCCAAACTCTTTCCCTGTATCAGCCCCAGACTGAATTTTCTCCGAGCACGGGTGAAATGCCATGATGAAGGGCAGGGTGGGAACCCGGGAGGAGAGGCAAAGCTGGGACTACTGTGGGGAACAGCCAATGCAGCACCAGCCCCACACAGACCCCTGGAGGACACCGAGTCCCAACCGTGCGGGCTTGAACTCGGCGCCTGAGCGCTGTCCCTCAGCTCTTCAGCTCAAGGCTGGCGCTCTACCTCTTGAGCCACAGCGCCACTTCTGCTACTTTCTGGTGGTTCCTGGGAGATCAGAGTCTCACAGACTTTCCTGCCGGGCTGGCCTCGAACCACGATCCTCGGGTCTCAGCCTCCTGAGTGGCCGGGACGGCAGGCGTGAGCACCGGAGCCCGGCCTGGCCGGAATGAGAAGGACTGGCAGCTCACCTCCGCACACGCTCCACGCTGTCGTCCGTCCGAAGATACTTCTTGGCATTCTCTCCCTTGCCGAAACTCACACAGTCTTCTGGGTTGGCAAACACCTGACCCCGAATACAGGAGGGGAGGAGGAGAGGAATACAACAAATTATATACTAAATATACATCATGTATCAAATATCTATATATATATTAAAGCTGCTGGTCTTGGTGATCAAGGACATGTAGAGCAATGAATCCAAGGTATGATAAGAGGAAGAACTTCCCACCCTTGTTCCCGGCAGAGGTAGAGATTCTCTGAAGACCAGGCGTGGGGGAAGGGGGTGGTGCATGGCTCCTACGCATGAAAAGGCCACCAACACAATCCTCCTTCGAGTCTGGTGTCGTGGCTCCCGCCTGTCATCCCAGCGACTCAGGAGGCTGAGATCTAGAGGATCGTGGTTCCAGGCCAGCCTGGGCAGGAAAGTCTGTGAGACTCTCATCTCCCATGAACCACCAGAAAACTGGAAGTGGCGCTGTGGCTCAAGTGGTAGAGCTCCAGCCTTGAGCAAAAGAGCTCAGGGACAGCACTCAGGCCGTGAGTTCAAGGCCCAACACCGACAAAAAATAAAAATGTGAATGTGTCCTATTGCTTGTTAATTTAGAATAATGAATGGCGATGTCCTGAATAGGTGTGGTCTGTTGGTGATGTAATCATGTGAAATGATAGCTAATTGTCAATCGTGGTTTTTCATGAATTAATTATTGC